TCTGTGCTCTCCAGTGCTATATTTTGTCTTCGGACACACCATTGACAGCCTCTCTCAATTTCATCATTTTTTTTGGAGGGGCAGGGCTGGCTTGCTCTCTCTTTTGTGTACACACACACACACACACACACACACACACACACACACACACACACACAAACACATACTACAACTGTACCCCTGAAAAATATTACAAAGATGTTTTGGTCTGTTTTCTTTTACTTACTCCCAGAAAATCAAATCTCTCCCTTTGCTCTGTCTCTTTCTCTGTCTCTGTCTTTCTCTCCCTCTGTGTATCTTTCTCCTGAAATCATACCTTTTCTAAATTTATTAATACATGATTTGAACTAATCAGTTATCATCATTTAAAAGGGAGCATAGTTTACTAATTTTTGTAACCAAGGCACCAACACATAATAATGATACTAGATGTGACACACTCGATCAATTAACTGACAAAATATTTGGCAGAAAAAAATGGCCTGTCATTAATTCTCCCTTGCTGTGATAGCATAGAAACTTATGGTATTGGAGGGCTCTCATCAATGTAGAATATTTCAAATTAATTTTATTTTGACTGAAAGTCTTGAAGTCATTTATCAATTTATTTGATTGGCTACATAAAAAAATCTCAACATATATTGGAAAGGAAGTTTTGTATCCAATATTAGTTTATATTAGTTGCATTTTTATAAACTGCTCACATTTTTTCCTATTCCAGACCATTGAGAACATAATGGTTCAACTTTAATATATTTCAACCAATTAACATTTAGAATGAAATTTTTTTTATACAGCAGCACAGTGCAGGCCAAGATTTTGTCTATTTATAACTTAAGTTTTGTTACATGACAACATTACCTTTCATAAAATTTTTACTTCATTTTTAAGAGAAAACTCAAACATGCTTAGTTTAAAAAAATAGACACATAACTTTCCAAGTGACTTTGATTTTCCTAAAATAACTGCAAGCAGTTTTTATTCAATCAACCAATCAATACATATTTATTGAGCTGCTCTGTTTGCTGAGACTGTTGGGTACTGACTATTCTAACTTGCTGTGACTGACTCCCTCATTTAGGGAGCTAACACACAAAGGCAAGGGCAGTACATCTTGTTTCATTGTTGTTTACTAATAATTATCTTACAGTTTTCTCTTTGACCGATGTGATTATTCATAATTTAAAGTGCTCAGTTGCTTAAAGATGAGGGTTCTTCCTCATATACTATGAACCTATTTCTTTGCATAATTGATTTTTCTCATGGCCTACTCTCTTTCTTCAATATTCTTCTGATGCTTAATTTATGCTTTAGTATTCATATTTATATATACACAAGCCATACATCATACATCCAGTCCTCCATATCTTAATCTTTAAGAGAAGAATGTGATTCTAAAACAAGCTAAAGCAGACATATTTTTTCTTTATTTCCACAGTACATAATAATTTCTATCTTCCAAAAATTATAAAATTGTTATACTATACTTGTTATTGTGGGAATAAGTCATTGCATTTCTAAATAACTCTCTTATGGTGCAATGCCTCACCCTTTGTCCTTTTTATTTTTGAGCTTAAAATGCATTCTTAAGTTGCAGAGAGCAAGTTTGCCTAGTACTTTGTATGATACCCCTTTCTGCATACCGCAGATAACTTCTGATCATTTGACTTATGTTCCTCAGCAATAGGCATAGTTTTTGAGTTTCTTCTACTGAAGAAAAGTCCCCATTCAAGTTTTACTTTCTGATAAAATTCACATTGGACGTCACTATGTGAAGAGATATGCTATTGAAGGAGATGATAGTCCTAGGGGGTTTACCAAGGTAAGTGACCTTGAGCAGACATTACAGGAGCTTCAAAGTTCAAAGGTCATGTAGTGCCATGAAGTTCACTGACTTCACAACTGCAGATGCAGTGCAGAGCTACACGGTGGTTTGACCAATTTCTTGTGGAAAGATACAGTTCTAGAGAGTACAGAGATGGCTTCATGGGGAGGAGTGTTTGCTTTGTGAGCACGAGGACCTGAGTTCAGACTCCAGGAACCCATGTCAAAAGCTGGGTATGAACACGTTTACCTGTGACCCAGGATTGTGGAAGGACAGAAACAGGAAGATCACTGAAGCTTCTTGGCCACCAGCCAGGCTCCAAGATCCATAAGAGACCCTGCTACAAAGGGACAAGATGGAGGAAGACAGAGCAAGATGCCTGCAGTCTTCTTCTGGATTCTGCAAGTGTGCACACTGCCATATACACCCACACACATGTGCACACACACTTATGCATACTGCATTAGTGTATAGACATGCATTCACAATCCCCAAAAAGGAATGAATAAAGAAACAAATGCCCAGGTCTTTACTCTCTCCGTTTCATATAATCAAGGAAAAATATGTCCTAGAAACATTTTTAAATCTCCCTTTCTTTTCAATTTGTGTATCTTAATTTTTCTCTAGAAACATCTAGAAAAGGCCACATCTTCTGTTGCAAGACTTCTGCCACTCTTATTCTGCCTCAGTAGAACAGTTATGTTCTCTTGATCGTGAATGAGCAGAAAGCTTTTTATCATCTTTTGTCTTGTTTTCTTTCTGACCCGAAGAATAAGAGCAAGACAAGATAAAGGAAATGGCTGCAGCTAGCCAACTATGCTCTGTTGACTCCTGTAAAAATAACTGTTTCCAGGTCAATACATCTCTGCCTTCCCTCCATAAAACAGTAGGAGCTGTAAATAACACAGTGCAGAGGTACATGTGGTGCCCACATGACCAAGTATAGTGTTCGAAATGCATTCTGCTGACTTCTAACTTTGGCTACTCATTAAGCGAACTCATCATTAACACTTACATGGTCTGAAGACATAAACCACAAGTAACAAGAGCCATCCCGTAATGGTGCTATACTCATAGCTTAAGTGTGCGTGTATGCCCGCGCGCATGTGTGTGTGTGTGTGTGTGTGTGTGTGTGTGTGTGTGTGTGGTGTGTAAGCCTTCCTGTGGGACTGTGCGTGTGTGCTTTTGGAGACCAGACATCCACATCAAGATGTCTTCCTCAGTTGCTCTAAGATGGGGCCTCTCACTGAAGCAGGTGCACACTAATTGGCTGGCCCAGTGAGCTTCAGAGATCTGGTCTCCACTTCCTTCCACTGACTTCTACAGTGTTTCTTGGACTGGCTTTCTGTGCTGGAATTATAGGTGTGCATCGCCACACCTAAGTGTATTTGAAACTTCACTTTAGGTGTGACTGAATTTCTTATGTATCTGCATTGTGTACATTTCCCACACTTCATTGGACACTGATGCTTGACAATTGACTGAGATAACCTGGATATTAACAGAACTCAGCTTTCAACTCAATTCATCCATTCAAAACATTTCTCAGGATTTTGGACACAGTTCCATGAAGGGAAGACAGTTCATATTTGTTCTAAGTATTTGTTGTTCTGGGTGTCAGGTAATTGAATGAAATAGATTATGAAAGCTAGAAAATGTCAGAGTTCAAACGCTTCGTCTACTGCGAGCAAGTTTAATCAGAAGCTGATCCCTGGATGGTGACAACTTCAAGGGTCCATGGACACAGTGGGACACGCAGGTTCCAGTCAGTTTATTCAGGAACAATCACTGATTGCTCACAGGAAATGCCAATGAAGTATAGCTCTGAGAGCACTAAGTGGGCCCTGAAAAGTCACTCTGCTGGGGAAGGGCTTCCCTGAGTGCTGGCAGGAAGCCAAGGCACAAAGATGCAGTTCAGATGTCTCTTCGGCCGCGTTACCCACTTCGCCGTCAGGTTAGCTGACTCTTTGTTGTTGAATGGCAGGAGCTCTTTATGTATTAGGATACTAATCCTACCAGAAGTCTAAAGCAACCAAATCCAAAGGAGCAGAAAGTACAAGGGTCCCTGATAGGGACAGGAGGGAGTGAAGAGGGAGCGTCGTCTGATGGATGGAGAGTTTCTGTTTCCTAACATGACAAAGTTGTAAATGTCTGTTTTACAACGTAAATGTGTGTAACACCATGGAGCAGCTCACATAAATGGCAAATGCCATGGTATGTGTTTCTCTGTAGTTTTCTAAATGAGTAAAAGTAAGTGTATTGCGAGAGCAAATTAAACTAGGAATAAAAAAGGAAGTGTAGTCCCAAGGCCAGTGCTATAACACTGCCAAGTGCACCAAAGTTCACCACCATTAGCAACAATCTCCAGACAGAGCAGAGGCAAACAGTGTGAGCAACATTATCATTCAGTGTGCAGGACAGTTTCACTATTTAATGCTTGAAAAGAAAGTTGGTTTTTTCTTTTTCCTTTTTTCCCCCTGTTAATTTATAGAAATTTCAAATGCAAACGAAGCAATCACGGGTTCACTTGCTTTTATTTTGCCCTAGTTTGGTCAACATAATTGCTAGCATAATATTTGGAGCTATTTTTTAAACCTCAATATACTTTATTCTTAATGATAAGAAAAAAATTTACCGTAGTCTTGTTCCTTCCAAAGCGCTTCACAAGCTGCCAGCTCCAGCTTGTCCGAGTTTGACAGGCATGGCCCGAGAGCCACTGGGTCTCAGATATTCCCAATGACAACTTCACACAAACTCGCTGCTGAAGTCCCTCAAAGCACATCCTGTACTTAAAAGCACTTTGACTGCGCTGCTACTCATGAACACAGAGGCAAGCAAACACACCCCTGCTCAAACCGGAGACATCCTGAAGACTTTGCAGTCAGTGTTTTGAGATAACCTATTGACTTGTCCTTCAGGACTGTTTGTCGAAGCCCTAAGGACAGAAGGAACCAACCCGGAGAAGAGCAAAGGTGCATTCGGAAAGGACAAGGCAAGGGCTTCTGTCTGCTGGGGAGCCTGAAGTCACTTAGGCCACGGGACGCACCTGGGGTCGCGACAGGGGGACTCGGGCTGAGCGGGAGCCTGCGGGGATAGAGGGGAGGGAGATAAAAGGCGGGAGGCGGAGCTGCGGGGCGGCGGGGGCGCGGCTGGCGGCGGCGGGAGCGGGCGGGCTCGTAGGCGGCGCCGCAGCCCCAGCCCGCCCGGCTCAGCGATCTGCGGGGCCCCGCGCTGCTCTGCTCCCCTGGTGCTCCGTTCCCGCACCGGGCGCCGAGACGTCCCGGAGAGTTTGCCCCGGAGCGCGGGCAAGTTTCTTCCTCAGCCCGCTCTGCCCGAGCGGTACCTGGAAAACGCCGGGGACGGATGCCGAGGTAACCGCACTGGGGCTAGGGGATGCGCTCTACCCGGGGTCGGGGCACCTCTGGGCACCGCGGTGGGCGCGGCTCTGGGTGGGCGAGACCTGCATGGTCCCTTTGTGGCTTTATCACCCCTGGGGCTGAGGGTGGCATCTTGGGGCATTGCAGACCACTTCAATCCACTTTGTTGGACGTGCAAGGAGCGAGAAGAGGAAGAGGCGTGCAAGTGCTCAGGGGTAACTTAGTAGCTACTTGGGGCTGGACTCCTACCCACCCCACCCCCCGGGCCCCAGAGGGGCACCGTGAACTCCAGGGTTCTGTTGACACACCCGCGTGGGGACAGGTAGAGCTTGGAAACAGGACACCCGAGGAGAGAGTGTTGAGTTTCCTAGCGCCGGTTTGTCCAGCCTCTGGCTTGTTTGGTTGGAAGATGAGCGTCCCTGCCCTGGTGACACCTTTGCACTGGCCCCAAACTCTGAGCGACACTGCAGAGACTGCGGGCCAGGTGGGAGGGAAGTTTCCAAGACGGGGCTGGATGGTGACTGAGCAGAGGGGTGGAGAGGGCACAGTGAGCCTCAGGTGTGAAGCAGGGAAGGGAGGAGGAGTGTAGCGTTTCCACCACTGTGGTGGGGGGTCCCTTCGCGCCATTCCCCACCCCTCTTCTGCCTGGTTTGAACATCCTGCCCGCCAGCATGTTTCTACAGAAAGACTAAGCGCTACTTATGTTTGATGCCTGACAGGGGTTGTTTCCCACTAAGTTCCCACGTGTGGAGTCTACAGCTGTGGCACCTCATCCTCAGATCCCAGTGGGCCGCCCCCAATCCTCCCACAATTGTGCCTGAATCAGTCCCAAGGTTTTGAAAGGGGTGGATGGAAAAGGCACAGAGTGTGTTTCTGTGAACGACTCTCCCACTCCATAGTACTAAGGGGTCCAAACCAAAACCTTGTGGGTGTTTAGTAGGAAATTTCCTTTTTTGAGGGTTTTTGTTTTTTGGTTTTTGTGTTTGTTTGTTTTTCCTTTCTGGTGATTAATATAGTGTAATTAATCAGTATCTATTTTTCTTCTTTAACCCCAAACATTACATTATTCTAGCTCTATGCAATTTTATTTACTATATGCAGTGTATTACTATTCCTGTTCCTGCTGGCTTAAAGAACATGGACTTCTTGTAGACTCACACAAAGCACAGTGTGACCATATTTAATGTCTCTCTGTCTGCCTGATTCAATGGCCCTGCCACCTGCCACTTCCCGGGTGTAATCATAACACCATATGCCTGTCTACCAAATTGAGGATAAGAAGAACATCATTGTTTTCCACGGGCAAAAGTACCCAACTATCAGATTTTACTATTGCTTATTAGATGAAGCACTCCAGTCAAGATGAATCCATTTAAGATGGGACAAATTTGTAATTCTACCCAAAGCTTTCAGACAAGATACCTGGACAATTGGAGTTGGTTAGGAATTGAGGGGGAAATTAAGCTATCATCAAATGGGAAACATTTTGATTGAATACATTCAATAAGAAACAGTACCTATCAAACACCTAGAAAAGAACGAGAAGAATTTTTTTATTATCTCATTTGCTTTTTATCATCTCCATGGAGGTGGTAGTTTCCTTCAGAAATGAGTACCTTGCATATAGATTTGGTATTTACTGACTGAACATCATATTGTGTGATACAGGGGCTTGGTGACAGTCCAAAAATACATATTTTAAATCATCCCCAACCATCTGTTCTCTCCCATTCCCTTACAGTGCAATAGTATATTCCCAAGGGTGTTCAGGCACACGTACTCATTTCACACCTTTGCATGAGCATCCCCAAAGCTGACACTGGTATCAAGTTTGACCCAAGTTGTCAGGCTGCTACTTTTTTCCAATAAGCCTTTGGTTTCAACCAATGAAGAAATCAAAAGTCTTGAGTCATCTGACAATGTTAACATATACTCCAGGAGAGTCTAACTGTTTGTTTGTACTCCCATCTTTTGCTACTAGAGAAGTTGGACATTAATCCAGCTATAGGATCCTCCTGGTGATATGAGTTCCTTCATGGTTACAATGGGCATCATTTGGTGCTCTGCAGACATAAGTGAAACATACCTTGGTCTCTAAGAGCGATTGTGATTGCCTCCTGGGTGTACCATCTTCCTGGAGAAAAATTACAAAATAGAAAACTAATGTAATAGTCCAGACATTTAACTAAATAGACATAAGGAGAGAGGAATGGCTCACTGGGGGTAAGGAGCTTGCTGCCAAGCTTGATGACCTTCAGGTCATTTACCAAGACCTATATGCAGGAGAGAACAGACTCCACTAGCTACCCCCTGACCTTCCCCTTATGCATACACAACACACACTCAAACCCCATGTCACTTACTTTTCTATTGCTGTGATAAAGCACCAAAGCAGCTTATAAAAGAAAGCATTTAATTGAGCTTATGGTTTTAGAGGGTTAGAGTCCATGATGACGGAGCAAAGGCCTGACAGTGAGAACAGCTAGCTGAGAGTTCACACTTCGATCCAGAAGCAAGAAGCAGAGAGCTTACTGGGAATGGCACCAGTCTACTGAAACCTCAAAGCCAGCCCTGTGTTACACCTTCTTTTACAAGTCCACACATCCTAACCCTTCCCAAACAGTTTCCTCCACCTGGGACCAAGTATTAAACATATGAGCCTATAGGGCCATTCTTATTCCATCCACCATACTGCCAACACACACACACACACACACACACACACACACACACACACACACACACAGCCATAGATAGACCTAAATAATGCATAGTATTTCTCCTACAAATATTAGCATGCATGAATGACATAGGGTAGTTTACAAAAGCTGACTTATGGATAGAGTAGGTTATATTTTTGTTTTTTATCTGAATGAATCATCATGCACTGAACTGTCATATGGACCAACAATCTCTGTTTTGTACATGTTACCATTTGAGAGAGATATGAGGCTTTTGAATCCCTCCACCATCCAATTCCCAATTTGGAGCAGTTGTTCTATAACTCAAATATTAGAAAGTGTTTTGTGGATATGTGTGTGAGAGTGTGTGTGCAGGTGCACCTTGTGTGTGAGAGTGTGTGTGCATGTATACACATGCAAGTGGAAGCTAGAGAACATTCTAGGAGCTTGTTCCTCCTGAGGTTTCATCTACTGTGTTTTTTGAGACTAGGTCTCTCATTGGCTCAGGGCTCTCTGTTAGGCTTAGCTGACCTGCCAGTGAGCCCCGTATCTGTCTGTCTGCACTCCTCTCCTAGTCCTGAGAGTACAAGGTTGCACCACTGTGGGCTACTTTTTGCACAGAATCATATTTTACTGTAAGTCATCTCATCAGCCCCATGTTTATTTATAAGACTTAGAAAATAAAAACTGTTGATTCAAAGCTGTATGGTGTGTGTGTGTGTGTGTGTGTGTGTGTGTGTGTGTGTGTGTGTGTCCACGTGTGTGTGTGTGTCCACGTGTGTGTGTGTGTGTGTCCACGTGTGTGTGTGTGTGTGTCCACGTGTGTGTGTGTGTGTGTGTGTGTGTGTGTGTGTGTGTGTGTGTGTGTGTACACATGCTCATACACTTCAGTAATTGTCCTATCCCTCCAAACCTTTGGGATTATTTATCACTCAAAATTAATCCTCAGGATAGACAAAATGTTAGAAATATTGCTTTAACTCAGATCTGGATGCAGTACTCCGAATTAGTTTCATGATTTTTAGGAAAAAGGTAATGGTGATTTTGCTCAGATTGCAAATATTAAATACCTGAGGAATAAGGAAAGTCCAGGACAGGGCTTCTTGTTCCCATAGACTACGGATTATGCTTATTTTGAAGATCATAAGGTTTTAGCTTAGAAGGAGCAGTGCACTGAAGAGAATAGACCCAAACTATAGATAATTCCGAACATAAAGCTGCCCTTAAAAATATGGTCTAATTTAAATCTTTGTTTCTTACATAAGAATGTGTTACCTCTTATTTTTTGGTGTACTAAAAATGAATTATTGAGGGGAAGCTGTTTTACCATCTATAGTAGGTACTCTGAATTATTCATTTTAATGAGAAGAATACAGGAAAAGATAATCTAAAATCATGGTTATTTAAAAAGTCATTTGTGTTTGTCTTTAGAATATGTTACGTGGTTGGCTTGAAACAGATTCCCATTGTTACTGTGGGCAAGTTGCCTTTCTAATTTTGTTTTTGTTTAGGTTAATTTTCAAAATGAGCTTACATGCCTCAAACACCAAAACCAGTTTCTAAGGAGGTAGGGTACGTGGGCACCTTGCCCAGGAACAAGCTGGGTGACAGAAATAACCAAATCTGGAACAAAAACTTTCCAGTGAATTATGTATAATTCACAGCAAGATAATCAAGATTGTATTGTATGTCATGTAATGGACATGTTAAGTGTTGGATATATTCCTGGAAAGATGAGAAAGGTTTTTGTTGTTGTTGCTGTTTGTTTGTTTGTTTTGTGTGTGTGTGTGTGTGTGTGTGTGTGTGTGTGTGTGTGTGTGTGTGTTATATGCATGTGTGCATATATGTGTGGAGGTGAACACACAGAGGCCAGAGGTGACACTGGCGCCTCCTCTATTGCTCCCTACCTTATTTTCTGAGCTAATCATTGAACCTGGAGCTCACTGACTGGTTCTATCTGGTCAGTGAGCTCCGAGGAACTAACTGCCTGTCCTCACCTCCCAAAGCTGGGATTACAGGCAGGGACTTCCGCTCCCAGTTTTTTCCTCGAGTGCTGGAACTCGGTGCTTGCACCCCAAGCGCTTGGGCCACTGAGCCGTCCCCTCAGCCCCCAGGGAAGAGCGGCTTAGTCAAAATGGGAGAAGTGAGTCTCATTTCACAACTAACAGAGGCTGGGAATGTGATGTGAAAAATCATAATGAGTGTTTATGGAAGCTAAGTAGACACACGTTAATTTATAGGCCTCACAAAGTTGAATTTTTCAGTGCTTTCCTAAAGCCCACACCTGAGTGTGGTGTTGAGTGACATCTCTAA